CTAATAGGAAAGTTCTTTCCTATATTTTTTAATAAAGGCCACACCCAGAGGAATGGGGGTGAGGGTGGACCCAATTTTCCATTTTAAACCGAAATCTCTTTTCCTGTAATTTTAGACTGAAATCTCTTTTACTGTAATTTTCCAATAATTCTGCCTCAAGGTCAACTGGGAATAAAACACATCTTTTTCAAGTGATAAATCCTTTTGACTACTCAGCTTAGAAACATTCCCTCAGTTCCCTCCAGTGATTTTTCTCAAGCTTCTAGTTATATATGGTAGATTTTATACTGATGAAATATCTAGAGAAGCCTCTGTCTCCTGCATTGGATACTGACTCATAGAGGGTTAATACGTGAACTACATCTCTTATGGGTCTTTCTGGAAATACATTTGTGAGACTCACATTTTTAAAAACTTTATTTCTCATCCCTTCCTTGGAATGACGCTCATTCACAAATCAATTCTGCATCAATAGCCTAGTGAACTTCTTCTAACTCTTCCAGTGTCCCCAAGGATTACTCATCCACTGGCTCAGGAGACCCTGGGCCATCTGGTTGTCTTTGCCGGTGCATCAGTGGGCTTCTAAAAGAGCATCACTGGGAGGGAGGGAGAGATCCAAAGGGGTGCTCTGAGCCACGGCCAGGTGTGCTGGACTCGTGAGGGTGCTCTGAACCATGGCCAGGTGTGCTGGACTCGTGAGGGTGCTCTGAACCATGGCCAGGTGTGCTGGACTCGTGAGGGTGCTCTGAACCATGGCCAGGTGTGCTGGGCTCGTGGCCTTGCTGGCTCTCTGGCTCCCTGACTGGAGACTGAACCAGCAAAAACATTTCGATTCTTTGAAATAAACTGCTGCTGTGAAACAAACAGCATCCTTTGATTCTGAGTCAAGTTCAGTTTTTTAAAATTCTTAGGAATGGAGGTAAAATTTGCCATTTTCTAGCACACATGTTTTTCCAGAGTCAGTCTTTCATTAATCACCACCCCCCCCACCCAATTATACATTTATTGTAAAATCCTGCCACAGAGGCGGGGGTGGGGGGGGTGGGAGGGATACTGGGATCCGTGGTGGTGGTAAATGGGCACTGGTGGAGGGATGGGTACTCGATCATTGTATAACTGAAACCCAAGCACAAAAATTTGTAAGTCTACAACTGTACCTCATGGTGTTTCACTAATAAAAATTAAAAACAACAACAACAACAACAAAAAACATTTATCTGGTAGGGTTCCAGGAGATAGTGCATTGATCAGGTATGTACCTAGAATGCGCCCAGATCGCCAGGGACAGCCCTGCAGGCCTCCAGCACTGTGTGGCCCCAGTATGCTTGCAGCATGCCCTGAGGGCCCAGCAGCACACCCTTGAGCCCTCGCACTGAACCACAGACTCCAGCGGCTAAGAACTGTCAGTGGGGCACATGGACTTCCTGAGGACCACTTGGACGCTCCCCTACCCCCAATTATCAGTTAAATATAAAATCCAATAAAACCTATAATCACATTTCCAACATAACATTTTAAAATCTATTACATTCTGTTCATTTCTATATGGTTTTGTCGCTGTTTAATGGATATATATGTACATACACTTAACAACTTGCCTTCCCCCCTTTTATCAGTATGTATTGGCTATTTTTTTTTTTTTTGCTTTTTGGGTCACACCCGGCAATGCACAGGGGTTACTCCTGGCTCTGCGCTCAGGAATTACCCCTGGCGGTCCTCAGGGGACCATATGGGATGCTGGGAATCAAACCCGGGTTGGCCGCATGCAAGGCAAATGCCCTACCCACTGTGCTATTGCTCCAGCCCCTGTATTGGCTATTTCAGAGCCATACTTAAGATTCAATTAGGATTAGCCAAGTTGCATGAAGGCAGGGATTATACTTAAGTAGTTATGAAGCACAACACATGGGCAATTAACTGTTACATAATTACATTATGCTGTAGTGATTCCTAAATAACTACAGGTTGCACATTTCAGGAAACAATGAGATTTTAGATTTTCTATAGAATTCTTGAATGGCTACTATGTAATTAATTTACTTTGTTAACTACAGCTGGTATTGTTTAATGCCACTATTTCAATAACTGGGTCTCAGTTTTATTGGAGGGAGGGCATCCCCAGAAGTGCTCAGGAGACCCCAGAACTGTGAGGAATACTTACCTAGATATGGAGAACTGATGGTTTGGTGAAGGGGCCCAGGTGTACTCAGAGGTTCCCCGATCCCCAGTCCTTAAGGAGTGACAGGTGTTGTATACAGTGCAGGAACCAAACCTGGAGCCTTAAACATGTCCAGCAGATACTCCAACCTTTTACTCCCCAGAATCCCATTGCTGTGTGCTTATTGAAGACTTAAACCTTAATTAAAATCACTTCATTTTCTACCATTAATTATAAACAGCTTGTAATCTATATTGAAAATATAATAAAAAAGGCAATTTAAAAGTCAAATAATCTTTAAGTTTTTAATAGTTAAACTGATATTTTCCTTGTTTTACATATTGGACACTGCAAACTCCTAGTAATGTGAATATCACCAAAACAACAATAAACCATTAATGTTTAGCCTGAGTATGAAAAACTATAGTAGTGTGGACAAATAGACTTTTACAATATATAGAATCAAGACAGTGGTTGTTATATTCAGTCAAGAACAAATGCAAGGGCTAGAGTGATAGTACAGTAAGGCACTTGCCTTGTACATCAGATGACCTGGTTTGACCCCTGACATCCCACACAGCATCCCCAAGCACTGCCAGGAGTGATTCCTGAGTGCAGAGTCAGGAGTAAACCATGAGCATTACTGGGTCTGGCCCCACACACAAGTAAAAAGAACAAATGTAGATCTTAGTGAATGTTAAGTCCCATACATCTTACATTAAACTTTATTAATTAATATGTGAATGCTAATTCTTATATTACCTAGAGTCTGTAGCCTCTTCACATTGCACTAGTTTTTACCTGCCCTTTCTCTCTTTGAGAATCCCAAACAAGATCCTTCACTTACTTGTCCTTTCCCTGGGGCACCAGTTGGGTGGGATAATTAGGCTTTCCTGTTTTTTGATGACCTGGCCAGTGTCATCAATTGCATGACACGGGATATCCCTCCACTGGAATTTGTTACATTTCTCAAGATTAAAGTTAGTAAATCAGCTTGACATAATTCCTCAAGTTAGAAACACAGATTGAAAACACATCCAGACCTCATCAAAATGTTGCTATGTCTGTGACTCTTGGATCCCTCTATTTTACATGACTAGAGAAGACAGGCTTTAGAAAGAATATAAGGACCAAATAAAAGTTTGACTTAAAAATAAAAACCCAAAACCAAGTGGTAGATAATATTACAAAAGACTGTTAGATTGCTTTTTTTTTTTTGGTTGTCATTTTGCCATATTCAGTTATACCCAGAGTTTAGCTCAGGGATCACTCACGTGGGCGTGGAGAAACGTGGTGCGGAAGGTGGAAGCCAGGCGGCTGGCTGCAAGGCAAGCACCTACCTGCCTGTCTGCCGTCTTTAATCCACCTTCCCAAATAGCATGTTCTCTAAGAATTAAAATTATGACATAGACCCCCACAAAAAGTGTGTGTGATATAATAAGTTCAATTCTCTATAGATCACGATCACAATCATCCTGTTGTTCGTCAACTGCCTTGAGCAGGCACCAGTAATGTCTCCTTTGTCCTAGCCCTGAGACTCTAAAAAATGCCACATTCAAGGCTCTTTCAGGGTTAGGAGAATGAGACCCAACATTGTTACTGGTATTTGGCATACTGGGTATGCCAGACTCTGTCATGTGGGCAGCGGTGGCCTGCCAGGTTGTCAAAAGCAAGAATGAGATAATAAGGCATTCACGGCCGCACGCTTCCGGGAGTTGGGTTTTATAGTCTCTGGGTCTTGGCCATTGATGGGATTACACGGCACTGGGGGGCAATTGGTGGGTGTGACCCCCGCCTACTGGAAGATGGAGGATCTGGGTGGAGGATGCTCAGCCCCGATCCGAGCAGGTTTGGAGATCTCAGCCCCGGGACCCGCATGCCTTTGTTCCTCTGCCGGTACCTTCATGTGTGTGGAGAATGGTCTCAGCATGGTTGTGGCTGATATATATATATATATAATATATATTTATATATTATATAAATAATATATATTTATAAATATTAAATATATATAATTTATATATAAATTACATTTCTTTATATATCTTTATAGATATATAAATAAAATTTGGGGTTTCTGTTAACGTTACTCACATATATCTGTCATACCAAATACACAATACATATTATGTAGTAAAAAATGTGGATCAAAATGTCTATCTTAAATAGTCTTAAAAGTCTGTAACAGAAAATCACTCTCAAATAATTCTCTCTTGAATAGTGGTTCTCAACTTTATACCTACAGGGCTTGTTCAAACAGAGTGCTGGGCGCTTTCCTGAGAAATTTCACACCTGAGAACGTCCACTTTGAACGTGTTCCCACTTGATATAGCTGCTGGTCTGAAGACACTACTAGGAAAATAACTGCTTCCGAGTCAGCAAGGAAGCTGCATTTACTACGGTCTGGTGAGATTAGCTACTTACATGTGCCACCTTATTTAACTAGTTGTAAAGAACTTAGTAAGCAAGGATGAGTTTCCTTCTTATATTGACAAAAGTAACTTGGGTGGAGAAACTGAGGAGGTAATGGGACCAAGTGGTAAACTTACAATTCAGATTCCCTTCAGTCCCAATGAAGGAAACTTACAACTTCCTGTTGATGCAGGAGTAAAATGTGTGCATCCTACGTGTGTTCATTTGAAAAAGGGCCTCTACCAAAATTGAGTCCAGTGAGTAGTTCATGTGAGTAGGGAGGTAGCCGAGGGGCAGAGATTTTTACTGAAAGGTAAAGGCCTGGTCTCACAGAACTAACTCACCAATTAATTAATTAATTGATTCTTAAATAATCAAGGATGAAATGAATTTACCAAGTAACAAAGTAGGAAGAACATGTGTTTAACACAGTACTGAATATTTCTTATTTACTATTATTTTATTTATTCTTACCAAAAAACCAGAATTGCAAATCAAGTCCTTAAAAGAATAATCTCGTTTACATTAAAGTTGAAGACATCATACATACTTTTCTATCTGCCAGTGTGTGCGACGTCACTAACCAACCAATACTTATTTGGGTGTTGAAGTGACACAGCATAATGGTCTTTGACAAAACGCTGACAAGCACTGAGACATATACCTCCTTTTACAAAGCAAATCAAAAGCAATGACATACAACTTGAATATTAACAAAAGTAGCAAATTTTACAGTAAATAAATTATCAAATATGAAGTTCCCCACATATAATTTCTGACACTTTGTTAAACTGTACATAAAACAAGGACATCAAGACACAACATTACAGAAGTGTAAACTAAAAATAGTTACTGAGGTCTAAATTTGAAAATGACAGAAAGCCCAGCCAACTCTGCTTCTCTATCAAAACAACTATCTTATATATCAAAGATTTTCTTTTAAATACCTATATACAATATTTCCACTTAATACTTTTAATCAAAGCCATATTACACTTAAATAAGAATTAAACAGACCACCCAAAATGCTGATTTCGTATCACAAAATGTAAGCATTTTAAATCACACCTTCCAGGTGGTATAAACAGAGTGAATACACCTCGTTCCTTAAGTGACATTACAAGCATATTTTTAAGAATATATTTTTATCTATAGGTCACATAAAGCTTTATTAAATGGCAAACACTTTAAACAGTGCAGAAATACAAGTTTCAAAAAGAGATACATTCAGAAGATCTGCTGCTCAAATAATATTTTTTCAAAACCGGGCGGAGGAGTATGATAAAATTCACTGAACTGGCAATCCAAAATAGCACTGTCATCAACTACAGATAGGAAAAAAGACAATGAATTAGAAACATCACCTTAATTTGAATGAATACATAATTATAATATAAACCATTTCCATAATATAGTATCAATAAGCAAAAAGAGTAAGCACATGTGTTGTCCAGGTTACAGAACAGGGTACACAAAAAGAGCCACAATAAAGATCAAAATCTGTCAAAACATTAGAAGGATATACATTAAAATAATATCATCCCTAGATGCTGCAAGGACAAGATTTTTTTCCCTATTTGCAAATATTTACTGTCTCAGTTTTATTCTATTAAGAAGTATTACTTTTTAAAAGTTTTATTTTGAAAAAAATTATAGTTTCACGGGAAGATACAAAAATAATAGAGTCCTGTATATCCTTCATCTAGCTCTGTCCAAGGTAGCATATTACTTAGCAGGACATCAAAACCAGAAAACTGACATTGGTATCATACTGGTAACTAGACTGCAGGCTGCTTCTACATGTTTTTATACCAGCATTTACCCAAGAGAAACGAGAGCATACAATCCACACAAAGAGTTTCACAAAAATCTGTATTGCAAACCATAATGCCCAAAAAAAAGGGGGGGGGAGGTGGAGGGAAGGAGGGAGGAAGCAGGGAAGGGAAGGAGGGAGGGGGAGAGAGAGAGAGAGAGAGAGAGAGAGAGAGAGAGAGAGAGAGAGAGAGAGAGAGAGAGAGAGAACAAAGAAGAAAAGTGCCTGCCTTAAGGCAGGCTGGGGGGTGGGGGGTTGGCAGGGGGGACACAGGGGACATTGGTGGTGAGAAATGTACACTGGTGAAGGGATGGGTGTTGGAACATTGTATGGAAGCTCTGTAACTGTATCTCATGGTGATTCAATTAAAAAAACTGCACATTCTATAAACTATTAAATGGAAATTAAAATGGCAAAGATTAAAAAGAGTTTTACATGATTATTCAAAAACTAACAGGTATCATCACACAATGAACTGCATACTACGTGGCAATAAAAATTAATGAATAATTGATATATGTTACAGTTATACTTTAAAATTTAAGTATAAATCTTAAAACCATCATGTTGAGTATAAGAATCCAGACCAAACCAAAGTACAAATGATGTGATTTTACTGATAAGAGTAATCTACCAATGCACAATTGTAGGGAAAAATCATAGATCACTGTCTGAATAAGTCTGGGGTAGCAGAGGTGATCAGGAAGCATTATATGTGAACAGAAAACTGTTTTAGCTTTGTTTGGGGACTACACCCAGTAGTGCTCAGGGCTTACTCCTGGCTCTGTGCTCAGGGATCGCACCTGGTAGGGCATGGTGCACCATATGTGGTGCCATGGAGCAAACCCAGGTCAGCTGAGTGCAAAGCAAATGCCTTACCCGCAGTAATATCGTTCTGGCCCTTGAGAAAACTCTTAAGGCTGATGAATATACCCATTATCTCAACTATGGTAAGGACGTGGGAAGTAAGTTCACAGCCATTTGTTAAACAAGTGCATCACTATGCATTACTAAATATTTTCTAACTGACAATAAATGCAGAATAAAAACTTGAGTTCTAAACTTAAAGTTCATAAGCTCACTAAAGATTTTATCAAAAGCAGCTTCAGGGAAGCCAGTTCAGGTTGAAAAACAAATGAACAATACAGAACAGGCTATCCTATGAGAAATGCAAACTTACACAAGAAGGGAACCACATCACTACTAAGGGAAATAGTTTAGGAAAATAATTTTGGGGAACAAAATGACTCTGAATATTTATAGACACTGAAGGAGAATGACAATGCTAGATACTAAAATCTACAGACTGAAGTTTTATTAACATGAAGGGTAGCACTTCCTCCGCAATGGGACAGAAAACCAAATTGGAATGGATTCAAAAAACCTTAGGAGGTCTTAAGTTTAAGAAGCTGGGGCCTTTTTTTTCTTTTTCCTAATAAATATCTTCTGTATCGAATGAGGGAATTCAAGTAATTGATGACACAGAGCCATCTCTTTTAAGTAATCCAATTCTTGCAAGGGACACACTTGTACAGGAACTATAGTAAGAATACACATAGTTATCAAAAACCAAAAAATTTCTTTCAGGAGAGATTTAACATTTAGGTAATTTTATAAATGGAGTTTATGTCTGATCTACTTAAAAATCACATCTCTAGTTATAAAATATTCTTTACAATAACATTTCCTAGTTCTAAGTTCCACAGTAAGTGGCAGAAAGGTCTTTGTGAATTTTTTTTGAGTTTTCCAGAATCTAAGATCATAAAGTAAAAATGGAAACATGTCACTGCATAGTTAAAAATAATTCCTGTATTTGGCAAATTAAAAAAAAATACACGGGAAAATAAACACCTTTAATAATATCCTATTGAGCACATTAACATTTTGTCCAGCCTTCAAAATGTCAGTGATAAAGTTAATTTTAAAAAGTCAAGCAAACTAATATTTAGAAATGTTTTAGCTTACCATAAACAACTGGATACACTGTTCCTCGTATACCTGATGCTGGACAATGCATGTTTTTTCCATTCAAATATACATTTAATTCTACATGGTCATACGTAATACCCTAAGAATAAAAAAAAAATTTTAAAGGTAAAATTATATATTTTTCATAAATAACCTAGACAGTCAGAAAGCACTAAGAAACATGAGAACAAAAATATAATCAGTTAACAATAGCTTTCTTTAAAAATTTTTAAAATTATTTTATTTTTAAAATTTTTTGAATATCTTATTTTTTAATTGACTGTGAAATACACAGTTACAAAGTTATTTATGATTGGGTTACAGTCATAACATGTTTCAACACCCATCCCTTCACCAGTGTACATTTCCCACACCAATGTCCTCAGTTTCCCTCCAGCCATTCCCTACCCCCCAGTCTGCCTCTATGGCAGACACTCCCCCCCCATCTCTCTCTCTCTCTCTCTCTCTTCTCTCTCCTTTTGGGCATTATGGTTTGCAATACAGATTAAAGTAGCTTTCTTAAGGGTATGCAATTTGATAGTTCTATTTAAATTGATCTAAAAACAAAAATGTGATAATGGAAGAAAAAAATTGTTAAGAAGATTTATGTTTATATTTACATAATATAAATAATTATATAGTCAAGCTACTTAAATACTCATATTAAATGTATATTAAGTATAAATCTCAAGAGTTCATATCAAAAGAAAAATAAATGCTAGCAGTTCAAATCCTAGTGTTAATTGCAAAGAAAAGAAACAAAGAAGTGCCCTCCTGCAACATAGCTCCAAAAAAACCCTTCTTTTCCTTTCCTCCCTGCCTGCCTGCCCGCTCTCCCCCCACCTCCTGCCATTCTTTTTTTTGGGGGGAGAGAAGAACTTGAGACTACACCCAGCAGTTTGTAGGGTTTACTCCTGGCTCAGGGATCAGTGCTATGGGGCTCAGGAGACCATTGAGGGTGCTGGGGATTGAACCGGGATGGCCATGTGCAAGGCAAATGTCCTCCCCACTGTACTGTCACACCGGCCCAGAGATCACACATTTTGAATCTCTCTCCCTTGATTTCAAGTTTGTCAAGTATTAGTAAAGTAAAGCTGATGTCTATGACTGAATATAATTAGGAATTAATATTAAGTTGACAACAGAAACTAGATGACTGAGAGATTTTGTTGTTGTTGTTGTGCTAGGGCCGCACCTGGCTCTGCACTCAGGGGTCACTCCTAGCAGAGCTCAGGGGACTACCTGGGATGACAAGGGATGGGACCCAGGCCAGCTGCATGCAAAGCAAGCCCCTTATCTGCTCTACAATCTTTCCAGCCCTAAAAGATTTTTAAAAACACAATGAACAAAAGATACCACTTTATACATCACTGATGGTACAGAAATATCAATAAGCACTATTAAAAATTCTAGAAAATACATGATAGCCTGGACTATGCCCAAAGCACTATTGCAGCCCCTTAAAATTTACTCATTAATTCTCACAGCTAGAAGGGTGTTATTATCATTCCCCATGTAGTACTCCCAATGACATAAATCACATTACTGATAAGTAAGTAAAGTAAGTAAAGGCCCTCCCGTTGATCATCGATTTGCTCGAGCGGGCCCAGTAACGTCTCCATTGGAGACTTTGTTGTTACTGTGTCTGGCATATCGAATACTCTCAGTAGCTTGCCGGGCTCTCCGAGAGGGGCGGAGGAATCGAACTCGGGTCGGCCATGTTGGCTGCGTGCAAGGCAAACGCCCTACCCGCTGTGCTATTGCTCCAGCCCATTACTGATGGAATAGCTTAAGCACAGAGGCAGTCAAGAATTTACCTATGTTGCACAGCTAGGAAGTGCCAGAGCTGGGATCCAAACCCATACAGTATGCTTCAGACTCTTTTTGTTTGTGTGAGGCCACAGACAACTCTCGCCCCTTTAGAATACTCCATTGCCACACAATAGTCTTCTCTTAAAAACTCTGTACAACAGTTACTAAGTGAAAAAGAAAACTAAGCTTTGAAAAATTAAGAATAGGGGCAGAGAGATAATGTAGAGGCTAAGGCGCTTGCCTTGCTTGCACGTGACTGACCAGGTCTAAAACCTGGCATCCCATACAATCCCCTGAGCTCCACCAGAAGTGATCCCTGAAGGAACAGCCAAGAGTAAGCCCTGAGCACTACCAGGTGTGGTCCCCAAACCGAAAATACCAAGTCAACCAAACAAGCAAAAAAAAAAAAAATCTCACACACACACAGAATTAAGAATAATAGTAAATAGCATTCAAAATGGGTTGGAGCAATAGCACAGCGGGTAGGGTGTTTGCCTTGCACGTGGCTGACCCAGGTTCGATTCCTTCGCCCCCCCCTCCCCCCCCAAAGAGCCCAACAAGCTACCGAGAGTATCTCGCCCACATGGTAAAGTCTGACAAGCTACCTGTGATGTATTCGATATGCCATAACAGTAACAAGTCTCACAATCTGTTGTGAGACGTTACTGGTGCCCGCTTGAGCAAATCGATGTACAACGGGAGGACAGTGCTACAGCATTCAAAACAGAAATGAACACAAACCAACAAGCAACTACTTCAAAGACTTCATACTGTAAATAAATATTGTTAAATTATCTTAAAAGCTTTGCAGAAGCAGAAAAAGATATTACAAGTGATCTCACTTCCAGCTGAGAGCAAAGGCTCGGAGAAGTCAATGCATGAAGTGCTATATAAATTTTTCTCAAGAGCTGGAAAGATAGTAACAGTGGGAAGGTGTCTGTCTTGCCCACACCCGGACCCATTTAGATCCTCAGCACCCTCGTGTGGTTCCCTGAGCACTGCTAGGTGTAGCCCAACACCATTCCTCTTTCCCAACATCTCCTCGAATCTTAGCAAAGTCAGTTAATATTAACACTGACTAAGGAATACTGAGAAAAAGCGGACGGCTTTGGTTTCTTTCCAGCTGATGAAGCTAGCAGTTCAGATCCACAGGTGGCAATCCAGGTGTCTTTCACCACTGTTGGCAACACCTGTTACAAGCATGCTATCTGGAACCCAACCTACATCCCAACACAAGGAAAGAAGGGAGAGGAGCTATGCAAGCCCCCACCTCCAGTCAGCACCATCCAGTTCAATTGCCCAGAAATTAGGTTTGACTCTACCTTCATGGTAACAGAAAATGTGTCCACTTATCATTAACTGTGTGCTAGCTTAGTGACTCAGATTCTCAACTAAGCCTGGTTGTCTCATCAATCCTGGAATAATCCCACACAAGAGGTTACTTAAAATACAAAACCCCTGCCAGGCACTCACAACAGTACCTGCCCCCTAATTAAACTGAAAAAGAAAAATAAAATTCTAGATAGTCATGTTCAAACTACAGATGGATGGGAAAGCAAGCCTGAGATGCTTCGTGTCCGCTTTCCCAGTGCTGGACCAGCTCCAACCAATACTACACAAATACTACAGAAACATAAATCATTTGGTTGGATATTAAAAACCTATTTTTCTTAATTTCTCCTCAAAGAATGACATGTGACTAAAATTCTACACATATGAAAACATTTTTTCTATTTTGAATTCATTTTACTTTTCCTATGCCACTGCCAGCAATTTGGTGAAATTTGTTCTCACAAGTTCAAACTAAGGAGATAAATATGGTAGAAAAATGTCTTGCTTCTCTTAATTCTGCATGTAATTCTTCTTTTAGTCTTCCTTTTATAAGAACGGGCATGAAAAACAGTCTAACAAATCTGACAAACTAAAAAAGGTTCTTAGATCTGTCAATTTGGAGTATCAGTCATTTCAGTGAATGAAGGCAAGAAAAACACACAGTAGACATTTACTACACCAACCAAAAAACATTTGTAGCTGATTATACTTTTTCTGCTTGAATTTCATCTTCTAATGTAAATAGGCTGACAGCATTAACTTGACTTCAAGATTCTCTTTCAAGAAATAACTGTTCAATTAAGGGTGTTTTACATTATGGACATCTGGCAATGATCTGCAAATACTGAACCAACTACTGAGGAAGAATAGGGAAAAGCAGATTTTTAAAAAATGGTTTAAGCCTTTGTCCCCGTTTGACTATAATCAATTTAGAGAAAAAATGACTTTCAAGGATTTATGTAGTTAAAATCTGTTTTAATGCGACTTATTAAAATAGATGTTAACATATTTAACTGGCTATGTTTAATGCAATTGCTGTTCATGTTTAATTGTAGCAAAGAAAAGAGAAGACTGTAGTTAAAAATCTTAAATTCCACATGTTCAACTCTCTGAATTACAAGGTTACCAAGCAGAGATTGGGGGAGTGGGGAGGTAGTGTGGGGGGCATTCAAGAGGGGGTCTCAAATAGTGGTGGGGGCTGTTGGCCCTCTGGGGGTGGGCATAGTGTGGCAAGACTGTATGGCTGAAAATAATCATTTAAACTACTGTAACCCACTGTTACTTAAACAAAAAACACTGTATCTTTCTTTGATTCAAATAACCTGTCAACCTGTCTGTATCATCATTATAAACTTTCCTTTCACGAGGTCCCAGAGCCAGGGTCCCTGAGGTTGTTTATAAGGCACGTTGGTTAAAGGACAGCAGCTTATGACTCTGTTCCTACTGGCGGTTAATAGGCTCAACTCATGTCTACAATTCCCAGATAACACTATATGAGAGCAAGTAGATGGAAAGACATCTTTAATTATAATTCCAATATTTGGCAAAAACTAAAATACATCTACTTGGATCTCTAAAGAGAATGGTCTTAATCATCCTTTCTAATTCCAGTTTTCCAAGAACAACATTTCTACAGTCAAGTCTTAGAATGCTGAGGCCAATTTTCTGAAGAGCCCTCAAAATGAAGGGAGTTTTAAAAGACTGAGCTAACAAGGAGCAATGCTCCTGATAAAATGTCTCCTGCAACCCTGTAATAGAAATTCAAAACAAATTAAGTAATGAGTATAAAAATGTTCTCCAAGATAGCTTTAGCTACATAAACACCTAATATTTTCTAATATAAAGCTCAGTGAGTGTTGATTAGCAACCAATCACTAATATCCTCCTTTGAATGGAAAAGAAGAGTCCATGAGGATCACCTGGCCAGCACAGCCAGGTGCAGGAGAAAGTAGCTAGATAAGGCAGCAGCGTCACACCAAGTACCACTTCAATTAAAGCCAATCCCAGTTCCTTGGAATTCAAACTCAGGCACAACCATACGGGTGTGCTAAGAGTAGCTGAAATTTAGTAATTTACTGTCGAAAGCAATTCCTCAAGAACACTCACCACTACATCTCCCTCCTGAGGAAGGCTATTGGCGGGCAGCCGATTCTTCTCCTCATTGTTGTGGTACAGGGCCCCATCATTTCTCATCACCAGGCTGTGCACATCGCGACCCAGAGGAATCTGATTCAAGTTCACTTTCTGAGTTGCAACACCAATACCCCAGATGCCTGTAACGGAGACCATTTAAATGCCCATCAAGTCTGAGGAATATAAATTATTTTTAAAGGACATGGGGCTGGAGAGATAGTACAGTGGGTACGGCACTTGCCTTGCACGCAGTTGACCTGAGCTTAATCCTCAGCGCCCCATATGGTCCCCTGAGCACTGCCAGGAGTGATCCCTCATTGCAGAGCCAGGAATAAGCCCTAAATACTGCTGGGTGTGGCTCAACTTCTCCCCTAGTCCCACCTCCCCAAATGGAGAGAGAGACTGTAACATTTTACCAGGACAAACTACTTGAGGCAGAGGGCACACTGGGTTGTGCTCAGGGCTTACTCCTACCTCTGCACCCTGGGATCACTCCTGGAGGTCCCTCAGGGTACCAAATAGTGTAGCAGGGATCCAGGGATAAAATCTGGGTTCACTACTGCTCCAGCCCCCTAAAATACTTTAAGTTGAGTGTTTCTCCTGTTTCACCTGAGGTTTTTCAGTAAGATTTGTATCATCTGGGGGAAGGGACAGAAAAATTCCATACTTATCAGAGTATAACAATCTTGAAAAAGTTAATGATAAAAAAACTAAGATATTTTTATGAAGATTTATAAAAATTGTATAAGACTGATCACAGTATTACTAAATGAAAGAAGATTCTGTTGCATAATAGGTGCTTTACTACATTCTTATTGCCTTTTGATTTTAGGCAGTATTGGAATAGAAACTGGACCCTTTAGAAGTCATTTGTTGGGGGCCAGAGAGATGGTTGCACTTGCCTTGCATCCCAAAATCCCGTTTGAATCTCCAGCACCACATACAGTTCACTGAGTACTACCACAGGATATTCCTGAGCACAGAGCCAGCAATAGCCCCCTGAACACCACTGGGTATGGCCCCCAAATTAAAAGAATCAATAAAATAAGAGGAAAGAAATCACATTTTTTAGCACTTGGGAAAAAAGCACTGATTTTAATACAAAAGCATATAAACAAGTTTTAGAACACTCATTATCAAAATATTTTTGAAAGGTAATCTGTTGGTGTTCGATTCAATTTCTGAAATGTGTGTTTTTCCCTTGAAAAGAATAATGGAAGCACACTGTCTGTCTGTCACTGTCCTCCCGTTGTTCATTGATTTGTTCAAGCGGGCACCAGTAAGTCTTTATTGTGAGACTTGTTACTGTTTTTGGTATATCGACAGGGAGTTTGCCAGGCTCTGTCATGTGGATGGGATACTCTCGGCAGCTTGCCGGGCTCTCCAAGAGGGACGGAGGAATCGAACCTGGTGTCGGTCGCATGCAAGGAAAACGCCCTATCAGCTGTGCTATCGCTCCGGCCCAATGGAAGAGCAAATGCCTTTATATTTCTTAAGTGACATATTATGAATAACCTATTTTTTCTTAAAGTAAAAATTCTTTTGGTAGGAGAGGTAGCTCAAGGGGCAGGAATATGTCCCACCTGAGTCTGTACCCCCCCCCCCCATAGTGTTGGTATTGACCCCACAGTAACACAAAATATGTCAAGTAAGTTAAGAACCTTAACTACTTTAAGGTCGTTTACAAATTATACTATGACTTCTGAAGACGCAGTATAGCTACTACCCGGGACTGGTTTCAAACACTCTTACTGTGGCTGGCACTAGTCAGTGGCAGCTGAAAGCCACAGGCCCAGGAGATGAGAAAATAGCCCCTAGAGCCCTGTTCCCTGGATTTAAATCCTGACTAATCTATGGCGGCTTTGGCAAGATCAGTTTTACTTACTCTTCTCTGATTCCTCACCTATGAATTACCAGCCATAATAGTGATTAAAAGATAACCCAAATACTCATAGAGGTGCTGCATATGGGCATTGAAATTTTTTTAAACATTTGATATCTGGGGGTTAGGGGCCACACCTGGTGGTGCTCAGGGCTTACTCCTGGCTCTGTGCTGAGGGATGACTCTGGAGGTACTTGGGGGACCATATGCAGAGCTGAGATTGAACCAGGGTTGGCTGCATGCAAAGACATGTAGGCCTCAAGTATTTTTAAAATACTACTTATTACTTTATATTCTCTAAACGGAGTTTAAATTCCAGAGCTATTTCAAGCATCATCCCCTGAGAAGAAAATTACCTCTTTTAGTCACTGCACTACAATATGAGATAAATAACAGAATCTGATGTAATGAAAAAAATTAGTGATAAAATATTCTATGCCTCAAGTCAGCGAATCTAAAACCTTTGGTCTAGGCTGATTTTATATATATATATATATATATATATATATATATATCTTTTTTTCCCCCCATTTCTTTTTACTGCAGAGCCTGGGATCAGACCCAGGTCTTATGCATGTAAGGCGTGTCTTTACCACTGAGCCATATACCTCGCCTAAAGCGGACTGTGAAAGCAAACAGTTCTTCTAATATGCAAGCAGAACACCTAGAGTTCTGAATTTTGTCTAGTTTTATTACAACTTTTTCAGTTGTAATAAATATAAAATCAGAGTGGACTGGAGAGGGGCTTGTATGTAGCAGATTCTGGTCTGATCTCTGCATATGGGCCCCCAATCATCACAGGAATGATTCCTAAACACTACCAGGAATGGAACCCCAAAGCACTTCCCCGGCCCAAAAAAGGAGAAGGTCTATTAAAAAAAGGGGGGGGGGGGGTTGAAGATCATGTTGTTAATTTTTTCTGGATTGAGTGAAATATGGAAAAATTACATGTCTGAACTTTTTACTGTGTTGACTTCACAAATAATGACTATAAAATATATATAAATGGATCAATTTTTAAGAGTGAAAGGTGGTTATACTAATTTCATACAAAAGGATTATAATCTCCTTACTCCCAAAGAATTATGCCGGCGGTGATATACTTCCGCATAACTATCTCAAGCTTCCCGAGGGACTAGTGCTACGAACACTCCTATGCATTTATTCCAGGAATATCACTGAAAATATCATTCACACAGAAAACTCAAAATTTTATTAGATTTAAGGCTCAAGAAGTATGGTTTCCTTTGAGAAATGTGTGTTTGAATCTAGAAGATTGCAGTAACCTGAGACATTCTGCTGTCAGTGAACTAAATTATAAAAGAATGGGACAGGACCAGAGTACTAAGATTAGTGTGCTTGTCTCGCGTGAGGCTGCAGTCTTGGCCTTGGTTCGAATCCAGCACTGGCAGCAGTGGCCCCGGAGAATAGAAGCAAGCATTACCTGAGCACTGCTGGGCATGGCCAAAATTTGAAAAAAAAAAAACAAAAAAACAGAGCACAGTTTCATATTTATCAGAAAAAAATCAGTATTTTAAAACTAATTTAGAAAACAAGCCCCAAAGTGATATTTTACACCACTTACACTAATTGAGTAAAACTATAGCTGATTTGTCTAATTTTCCTATTCAGTGCCTAAATTACTCATGCAGTATTTCACTGTAAGTATTTTTAAATAAAGCCCCAAATTTTCCATTTATAATATAGCCACACTTTTTTTGTTGTTGTTGCTTTTGTTTTATTTTTGTTTTTGTCTTTTTTGGGGGGGGAGGGGGGTCACACCTGGCAGTGTTCAGGGCTTACTCCTGATTCTGTGCTCAGGGATCACTTCTGGTGGTACTTGTGGGGACCATATGAGGCACCGGGGATTGAACCAAAGACATGCAAGGCAAGCACGTTACCCATTGTACTATCTCTCCAGTCCCGCATCTTTCACTATTAACTATTACAGTACTCAAAATTGGTATACAATTAAAAAAAACTTCATGTATTTTTTTTAAAGGATAAGTACAGACTCTAGGTTTCTAACCGAATTCTAAATAGGATTACTTCAGAAGATTCTGAACTGTGACATCTCAAGATTGTATTATTATAATTAAGAAAAAAAATCAGAATCATAAATACATTATACCAACCTGTAGACTGAATTTTGAACTCAAAGTAACTTTTGTTTTGATGTAAAGGTGCACTGGCTAAACAACCTCCAGTTCCACATATTCTTCTTCCATTTTTCACAATGACAACATCTGTTCCTAAACAAGAAAAGCAGACATGTGTTACGTGCTGTATTTTTTTAAAATCCAAGATCATGGTTAATTTCTGTTCAACTTTTGGCTTTTGGTCGACCAAAAACATAGATGCTATTTGCACTCTGAAATACAGAAACTACCTTAAATTATTTTAAATACCTCATTCAGAATTTCCTCCCTGAGACCGTTTGTTTATTTTTTGGTTTGGGGGATGCTGTGCTCAGGGCTAACTCATGGCTCTCGGTGGTGCTGAGGATCCAACTGAGGAAAGTTGATCCAACTGATCACTGTATTATTTCTCCAGCCTTGAAATACCTCAAGGCATGCAGAAGTCACTTCCAAATTTGTCATCAATAAATCAATTTTATGATAAATTTCTTAAATAAAATTATAAGCATGTAAAAGAAAGGCTGGTAAATGGGTACAATTTTCAATTCAGTAAGCATAATATAGAGTATGCTGCTTTAATAACTGCTAGACACAATATACTATGCTTGTGCACAATTTAGGTAAGAACTGGAGAGAACATGAAATATAAAAAGAATATCTATAGTCTTGTAATTGACACTAAAAATACTAACTTTAGGATATTAAAAATGCTTTAAGATTGCTACTCTCAATAACACTACAATATGCAAGCAAAGCTTTGAAAAACATAAATGCACTCCATTCTCAATTAGTATTTTAACTGAGCATTTTAACACTGGATAAAGGTGAGAAAACTGTTTCTCGATAACATGATCTCAAACCACATCTTTTCCAAATCTTGATTTAAGAAAGTATAAAGAGTATAAAAGTATAAAGAGACTTTACTATGCAAAAGTATACCATATCCCATGGGCCAGAGTGATAGTTCAGCAGGTAAGACACTTGCCTTGCATGTGGCCAGCCCTGGTCCAAATCCCAGGACACCACAGAGTCCCCAGAACCAACAGGAGTGATCCCTGAGTGCAGAGCCAGAGCCAGGAGAAAGTCCTGAGTACAGCCTGGTATGACCCCAAAACACTGTAGCACTGCAGCACTGTCCTCCCGTAGTTCATTGATTTGCTCGAGCGGGCCCAGTAACATCTCCATTGTGAGACTTGTTACTGTGTTTGGCATATCAAACGCGCCACGGGGAGCTTGCTAGGCTTTGCCATGTGGGCGAGATACTCTCGGTAGCTTGCCAGGCTCTCTGAGAGGGGCGGAAAAATCGAACCCGGCTCTGCCAGGCCGGCAGTGCACAAGGCAAACACCCTACCGCTGTGCTATCCCTTCAGCCCCAAACAAACAAAACTATTCCACAACACTGTCACGACTCCCAAAATGTACAACACATATTCCCACTTCACTAGTAACAAATAAAACAAACTAAGCAATTCTGGTTGTTTTTGGTTACCGAGTCAATTTATCACATAGGTTTAGACTTTTAAATTTTAAGATGAAAATTCTGTCTATTTCAATGGAATATTATGCAGCTGTTAGAAAAGATGAAGTCATGAAATTTGCTTATAAGTGGATGGACACTGAGAGTATCATGCTAAGTGAAATGAGTCTGAAAGAGAGGGACAGACACAGAAGGACTGCACTCACTTGTGGAATATAAAATAGCATAATAATATGAGGCTAACACCTAAGGGCCAGGAGGATCATTCTGTGGTTTGGAAGTCTGCCTCATGTGCTGAGGGAAAAGAAGGGACCACTAGGTTGAGGGGTCACTCAGGATGGGAGACGTGTGCTGAAAATAGACCAAGGACCAAACATGATGGCATCGCAGTATCTGTATTGCAAGCCATGATGCTCCAAAACAGATAGAGAGTAAGATGGAAGTTGCCAGAGTCAGGGGGCAGGAAGGGGTGGGGGTTGCGGGGGGGGGGGGGGGATACTGGGGACATTGGTGGCAGAAAATGCGCACTGGTGGAGGGATGGGTGTTTGATCATTGTATGATTGAAACTCGATCATGAAAGCTTTTTATTGAATCTCACAGTGATTCAATAAAGAAATTTAAAAAGTAAAAAAAATTTACAAGAAAAGAAAATTAGTGTCTATTTAACCTTGATACAGAAACAAGTTTCTCCTATGAGAAACACAGGATACCAAAATCCAGAAAAGGAAATGTGACTGAAGCATACACCAACGTAAAAAATAAAGCTAATGATAGTTTGTTTGAGCTCATCCTTTAACTGTGTGGGAATCCTCCAGAGCTGGGTAAAGAAAATGAGACCACAATAACAATAGGTGCAAATAAGCTGGTAGCTATCTCATGATTAAATTCATATTTAAATAGAAAAATTATTGGGGTCAAATACACAGAAGTGAAAAAACTTCAGATTCTATCACAATTCTAAACTGATAAGAAACTCTTAAAAGTGGAATACCATTATACAATTATTAAAAGTTAATTAGCACTCACTTTTTCTTTATAACATTAAGCCTCTAATTCGGGAAAAAATACCTTTATACATCATTATATCTAGTTACACCATCTAGCCCTGGAATGTATCCAGAGCTTAGCTTCTCCCTGGCACCAAAGACCACAAAGTAGTTGGCACTTGGCAGACGCTCAACAAATAACTGATATAGAAAGAAATGAATGTCCTGGTTAATGGACTTTGCCATGCACAAGTAGCATTTGCGTTCCATTTCCCAACAGACATCCCACTGGAGATTTAAGAAGTTCCAAGGAAGCTGACTCAATCTCTGGCTTCAGGGATAGTTCTAACCTGGGCTAAATCAATCAGTGCAGTTCTAATTTCCTGGTCACAGTGAGGGACTATTTGCCTGAGTCACTATTATGATGAGTTAGTTTCAGGGCTTCTGTGGGTGACAGAATAGACACTATCATTCTTGCTGGACCCGAATAAGAAAGTCTACTCCCCAGGGAGCTGCTGCAAGTTATCCTGGAAGTCAGACTTCAAATATAAGCAGCAGAAAGCAGAAGAAATAAATCTTACCAAAAAAAAAAAAGTGCAACATAAAATAGAAATGAAGGAAACTCCTGGCATCCAAACTAAAGCAAATTATAGAGGTGAATTTAAAATAAAAATGACTTCTAGGGGCTGGAGAGATAGCACAGCGGGTAGGGCGTTTGCCTTGCACGCAGCCAGCCCACGTTCGATTCCCTGCATCCCATATGGTCCCCTGAGCACCGCAGGAGTAACTCCTAAGTGCAGAGCCAGGAGTAACTCCTGTGCATTGCCAGGTTTGATCCAAAAAGCAAAAAAAAAAAAAAAAAAAAAAAAAAAAAAAGACTTCTAAATTCTCTTTAATTGGTGGGGGGAGTAGGCAGGGGAGCACATGCGGTGTTGCTCAGATCTTACTCCTGGCTCTGCACTCAGGAATCACTCCTGGCTCAGGAGACCCTATGGCATGCTGGGGATCAAACCAGCTGGCTCTTACTCCAGGCCACACAACTTAAATTTTAAGACAAAAGTCAATATCTAGTTAACCTTGATATAGAAACAAGCTCCTATGAGAAACACCAGGAAATAAAAAATCCAGAAAATGGACTGTAACTGGGGCATACTACCAACATAAAAATAAGACAATGACAGTTTGTTTGAGTTCAGTTTTAAAGCTCATTGTTTATGACTCAGAAAGAAAGGGATAGACATAGAAAGATTGCATTCATCTGGGGAACAGAAAGTAACAAAATAGGAGACCAACACCCAAAAATGGCCGAGATCAGTACCAGGAATTTTACTCCATGGCTTGGAGGCCAACCACACATGCTAGGCGAAAGGGGAGCTCAGATAGAGAAGGGAACACCAAATAAAGGGTGTTGGGAGGATCCTCCCAGGATGGGAGAAGCATGCTGAAAATAGACTGGAGACCAAACACGATTGTCACCCATTACCTCTTTTGCAAACCACAACACCCAATAAGAGAGAGAGAACAAAAGGGAATGCCCTGCCACAGAGGCAGGGTGGGATGGGGGTATGGGGGGTGGGAGGGATACTGGGATCCGTGGTGGTGGGAAATGGGCACTGGTGGAGGGATGGGTATTTGATCATTGTATAATTGAAACCCAAACACAAAAATGTGTAAGTCTACAACTATACCTCATGATGTCTCACTAATAAAATTTTTTAAAAAAATAAATAAATTCATTTTTTAGCTCAGCAGTAGGGCATTTGCCTTGCATACATTTGAAGTCCTAGGTTCAATCTCCAGCACCATATACACAAAATATGTCTTTGTCCATAGCTATTCTTTAAGCAAGTTATGGTTGGTTACAATGGAAAAATGTGAACTGCATTAACCATAACCATATACATGTCAGACTGATAGAACTTAAAGATACAGTGAAAAAGGAGTGATGAGGGGTGGGAGAGAAAGCACAGGCGGTAAAGCAAGCAGCAATTCCTGGCATCACATACGATCCCTTGAGCCCAACCAGGGGTCACTCTTGAGCACAGAGCCAGGAAGAGCCCTTGACTACCCTCAGATGTGACTCCCAAACCAATAAAATATTTTCAAAGGAATGGTGAGAAGAAATAAGGATATGAGGTATACATCTGCATGTGCCTATGATTAATGAAACAAGGAGATGGTTAAGCAAGTTGAAGTGCCAAGCTGGAAAAATCAAAAATGCTATTATAGGGGGCTGGAGCGACAGTCCAGCGGGTAGGGTGTTTGCCATGTATACAACTGACCCAGGTTCGATTCCCAGCATCCCATATGGTCCCCTGAGCACCGCCAGGGGTAATTCCTGAGTGTAGAGCCAGGGGTAACCCCTGTGCATCGCCGGGTGTGACCCAAAAAGAAAGAAAAAAATCTATTATAATTATTAAATACTGGGAAATTATTTTAAACTTGTTACTTCTCTTGCTTTTAAGTACAAAGATATCTTATGGTTGGGTCCATGTATTACTACTTAAGAGTTAAGGTAGATTTGGGATGAAGACATAACACAATGGACTGAGCATATACTTTGCATGAGGGAGGCCTGGGTTTGATTCCCAGCACCACCTCGTACCCTGAACATCACCAGGGACAACGTCCTTCCCAAGTACCACCAGGCATGGCCCAAAAGACAAAATAAATGAGTCAAGACAAATTCTAGCACAGCACCTGTAACATATAACATATAACAATATAAACATACAAAAATAGCCAGACTTTTTTTTAAGAAACATTCTCAAATAAAGGACATCCTTTCAAGGTACCTCTGAAGACTAGAATTTCTGAAAAATTGATTCATAACTAAAGTAGAATATATGGCAAAACTGAGTATATTTACAAACACTGTGTCAAAAATATTTCCCACAGAGGAATTCCAAAGTGGCTTTGCATGATGCTGGATCGCCAAGCTAAAGGAAAATTCTGAGTCAACACTTACTCGGATATAAAATATATGGCAAAAATGTTGGCTGCATGAAGGCCAGTGCCTTACCCACTGTACATCTTTCTGGCCCTTAGACTGTTTTCGTTTAAAAAAAAAAGTGGGGGGGGAAGAGGGCTGAGGAGCCAGTGCCAAGAGCTAGTGCACATATGCAGGAACTAAGTTCAGTGCCCACCATGCAATGGCTGCTCCTAAGCACTTCTGGGTATGGACCAAGTAGGGATGCAGGGGAAGAGAGAGAAGACAGGAGGAGAGAAAAAGATGGAATCACATTCCTTAGGGTCTTTTAAAATTTGTTTTTGGGTCACACCCAATGCTGCTTAAGGCTTCTGCACTCAGGGATCACTCCTGGTGGGGCTCAGGGGGTCAACCATATAGATGCTAAGGATCACACCTGAGTCGGTCATGTGCAAGGAAGTAGTATCCTACCTGCTACAATATCACTCTGGACCTCCCTTCGTGAGATGGAAGGCTCTTGATGCATGTAAGAGCCAAATACATGCATACTTGCTCATCATGCTACCAATATTTTCAGCTCAAAGTTAATTTATGCTTGAAATGTACTCCTAACTTAACAAGCCTTTCTTTTCTCTCTGTACTAATATTTGGTTTCTAAAAATCAGGCTTCCTTTGTAACTGCAGAATCCTAATTTACTGGATGGCAATTTCAGAAAGAAAAAAAAACACTCATGCAGACAGAAAATTTGGGGGCAATCTTACTAAAGTTTTGGACAGCTTTGTAAACAGAACATAGTGGAGGGCTGAAGAGATAGTACAGGCAGGAAGGCACATGCCATGCTGGAGAGTACTGGGCATCACCGGGTGGAGTCCTGGAGGCCCATGCCCCCTGCCCTCCCTTGGAGGGCACGGAGAACTGTGGGTGACTTGAGTAATTCCTGACACTGCAGGGAAAGGCAGCAGCCTTAGCGTCCTGGTTAGCTGAGAACCTTGAGGAGGACCGTGGCTGCCCTGACACTCAGCCTTTGCTTGGGAGGCAAAAAACAATAAACATCTAAGAGTGGATACAAGAAACCAAAGCAAAGGAGTGCTCTCATAAGACTCATAAGAAGACTGTAGTAATAATTCAGTAGCTGGCAACAGAGCAGCCCTTCACTGCATTCTCTCCTGGGAAACTCCACCACTGGGAATGGCTCAATAAATATCAGTCGAGTGAATGAATAAATGGGTGGATACATTTTCTAGGGAAAATGATAAGAATTGGGCATCCAAGTTCTATGGTGATGACAGATAAGAAATAAGTTTAAAGATATCTACATGTATACATATTTATGTATTAAGTTTATTTTTGTTAGGAGAGCTAAGAATTAACAGTACCAACACCTATGGTAGCCTACAATTATCACCTCTGAGGTTCCGTAGGTGGGTTAGAAGAGGGGCTCACAACTTTTCCCACTCAAGATCCCAGTGGCCTGATGACTTTTACCTAATACTGGTACTCACGTAGATTAAAAAAAAAAGTATCAGATTAAACATTTACTGATAATATCATAAAGTATTTTAAGACAAATTTTCAAAAAGCTACAAGGCCCAGGTTGGAGCAATAGCATAGCAGGTAGGGTGTTTGCCTTGCACATGGCCAACCCGAGTTCGATTCCCAGCATCCCATATGGTTCCTTGAGCACCGCCAGGGGTAATTCCTGAGCGCAGAGCCAGGAGTAACCCCTGTGCATCGCTGGGTGTGACCCAAAAAGCAAAAAAAAAAAAAAAACCTACAAGGCCTCGAAATGGAGCAGCACCCCAACCCACCACCTAAGAAGCCAGTCTATAAAAAAAAAAAGGTGAATAATCGGAGAATTCCCTGAATTAGAAAGAATCTAGGAAGGAGTTTGGTTACGTAGGAAAATGAAGCACAGTATCTGCGGTACAGAATAACCCACCACAAAAGCAAGCACTCTCACTGGCACGACCCCCGTGGAAATCTCTCCTTCTAGGGTAATAATAATAATAATAATAATAATAATAATAATAATAATCTAGAAGCATAACAGCGACCCGCGAGGAATGTTTCCGAACAAACAGCGGAGCGGAGCGGGAGGTGCTGCAAGGAAGGACGCCGAGCTGCTGCAACGCATGCATGTGCCCGCCGATTAATTAATCATTCGGGAGAAAATGCAGATGCAAAGGAGCTCGGCCGGGGCGGGAGGAGGCGCCCGAGTGACTCAGGAGCCAGGAGGGAGCACCGGGCTGACGGCGCAGGTGCGACCTGGGCAACAAGCCTGGTTTCTGCCTTCGGGAGGGGAGAGGAGAGGAAATCGCTCCCCAGGAGCCGAGCCCCGACACGCGGCCGAGCCCCATCATCGAGGAAACCGGCTGCCGCGACCCCCCTAAAAAACCTCCGGGCACCGCGGAGGTCTGAGCTGGCCCGGGCCGGGGTCCGGGGGGCAGCTCGGGGGCACCGGCGGGGTCGTCCGCACACCCATCTCCGGGGACCGGCGCTGACCAAGGACCGGGCCGAGAGGGGAGCGGAGGGGAGACACGCGAGGTGAAACGGGGTCAGGAAAACAACGGGGGCTGGGGTCGGTGACACCCGGCGGGGCGGGGCAGGGTGGGGCGGGGGGGTCTGTCCAGCCCCAGCACCGGCGCGGTCCGGGCCGTTGGGTCCCGGGGAGCCTCACCCATGTGCTGCGTGTCCAGCTGCACGGCCGGCATCTCCTTCAGGGGTATGTGGCCCGTCCCGCCGTCTCGGCAGCATCGCAGGCAGCAGAAGACCGAGGCTGCCATCGCGCAGGCACCCGGGACCCGGCTCCGCCGGGCGCGCCCGAGTCACTGAGACGCCGCCGCCGCCCCTCACCTTTCGCCCCGCCTCCAAGGCCCTGCCCGAGCGCCCGGCGGGCGTGTCTTGGAGCGCGGGGTCGGCTACAGCGACGCCTGCGGCCGGGAGGGCGCAGCGCAGGCTGGAGGGAAGCCGGCCTAAGGCGGAAGAAGCCGAGGCAGCGGGGGAGGCGCCTAAGCGAAGGGCGGGGCTGGAGGGAGCGGCGCAGAAGGGGCGGGGCAGAGTCCTTGCGCCTGCGCACAGGGTCGTGCCGCCCTTGGCGCGCTTCACCTCGTGGTGAGGCTTCAGTCCCTAGAAAGTATTTCCTGGGTCATCATTTTATACATGAAGGAAGTTTTTACTTGAAAACCTTGGGTCTGGGGCAGGAGCCATAGTACAGCGGGTAGAGCGTTTGCCTTGCACGCGGCGGAGCCGGGTTCGATTCCCAGCATCCCATAGGGTCCTTTGAGCACCTTCAGGAGTAATTCCTGAGTGCTTGAGCCAGGAGTAACCCCTGTGCATCACGGGGTGTAACCCAAAAAGAGAGAAGAAAAAAAAACAAACAAATGAAAACCTTAGATCACTCTGAGAATTTAGTAGTAGAATTTCCATTGGGAGGGAGGAGGGAGTTAAATACAATGTTGGAACGGGTATTTTTCTGGGTGAAAGGTAACACTATGTCACAAATGTAGCTCGTTGAATTACCTAAAAGTTACAGAGTGAATATGTCCCCATTTTAAAGACGAAGAATTAGAGGGGGGTAATTAATGTTCCCTCATCTGTGTAAAAATACACTAAGTAGATTTCAAAGCCACCATTTGGACTCCCAAACCTTCACTTGTTCCACCTGCTCATTTTGCACCTCGAAGTGAGGCAAAAAAAAAAAAATTCTTTTTTTTTTCTTTTATGAACCAAGACAGTTTTCACTGGATGAAACTTGCTTAGAAAGATGTGAGAGGAGAGAGAGAGGGAAAATATGTGTCCAAGAGAGAACACAGGCTTCTCCAGAGTGGATAGACACAAAGTAAACAGATAGTAGAGGAGGCACTGTTCAAGAGAGAATGTGGGCTTGAAGAGCACGATTATGGATCTAAATCTTGATATTAATATTACACTTCTTAACTGTGTTTTCGGTTTAAAATGCAGACTTGGAGACAGACATTGTGGCTCAAATTAGAGCACCTCCCTAGGGCCCCGAGTTCCATCCCCAGCACCTCTTACATCTTTAGTGCCACCCCAGTTGCGTTCCCCAAACACTCCAGAGCACCCCAGCCAGGCAGGACCCTGAAAATCACAGCAACAAAAGGAGGGTGGAAGGGCAGGGTGTCACTCAAAAACTAAAAAAATTAAGTACATTATTTGCAATTCATTTTTATATTTTATTAACCTCCTTTTGGCAATAAACTGCCATAACTTTTGTATCACTGTATCACTGTCATCCCATTGTTCATTGAGTTACTGAAGCGAGCACTAGTAACGTCTCCATTCGTCCCACCCCTGAGATTTCTGCAGCCTCTCCTTACTCGTCTTTCCCAACGCTGCCATATTGGAGGCTCTTTCAGAGTCAAAGAAATGAGACCTGTTATTGTTACCCGTTATACCCTCCACAATAACTTTTGTATAGATAAATACAATAAGAACTATAAAATAAATGTATAGATACATAAAATAAGAGCTATAAAATAAATGTACAGGAATATTAAAACTACTACATGTATTAAATACAAAGTACACATTTAAATCCCTTAAGTTTTAGTCCCATTCTCAATGAAACACCAGGCTAACTGTGGCTAACTGCGGGATAGCAACTGCCTTTTCTATTTAGGAAAGTGATTTGTCTGGACCTTGCCCTGTGCCCTTCGCCCTCATCACAGCAACCAGAGTCTATACAGCAGTTTGAAGCACATGAAACTGGTTAGCTCCTGAAATGAACTCCTTGGACTGGAAAATAAATGCCATCCATGAGCTCACAGCCCCTTTTATAACTGGGACCCTGTTATCCTTTCGTTATTATTTTCAAAGAATTAGTCTTCTGGGAAGAACAATGTGAAAGATTGTTGGCAATCTTTCACAACCATCACTTTGAGTAACAGAACTCTCACAGCCTCCAGAAGGTTTCCCAGTAATAGTTAGAAGGTGGTTTATCTAAGTTGAAAGCAATAACAGAGAATGATTCCTTGAAAAAAAGAAGTCTGCTTCAGTGACAAATGCCAGGAGCTCAGAACTGGTAGTGCAGTAATGGGAAACATGTGTTTTCATGCTGAGTTTAACCCCAGGCCCAGGATTTATTTTTTTTTCTTTCTCTTCTCTTTCTTTCTTTCTTTCTTTCTTTCTTTCTTTCTTTCTTTCTTCCTTCTTTCCTTCCTTCCTTCCTTCCTTCCTTCCTTCCTTCCTTCCTTCCTTCCTTTCTTTTTCTTTCAGTCTTTCCTTCCTTCCTTCATTCTCTCTCTCTCTGTCTCTCTCTCTCTCTCTGTCTGTCTCTCTTTTTGGCTTCATTTGGGGGGAGGGGGCAAGCCCAACATGTTTGGGAATCAGTGCTCAGGGATCGCTCCTGGGCAGAAGAGGGTTCGATGGTGGACAATATGGGATGCCTCTGCACCCCCACCCCCCAACACACACACAAAAACACACAGAGTACTGTGGATACAGCCACACAATGATGATGGGTTGCTTCAAACTGCAGTCAAGCTCAGGAGGCCTAGCTCTATGATCTGTGTTCTTTTTTTTCTTCTTTTTTTATTATTATTTTTTTAATTTTTGGACCACATCAGTGCTCAGGGGCTACTCCTGGTCCACTTCTTGGAGATCAGTCCTCGCAGTACTCTGGGGGCCATACCATACTGGGGATGGAGCCCGTCTCCTGCATGCACAACCTCTGCCTTAGCCCTCTGAGTTCTCCCCCGGGTGTGTTCTTAACCGTTGTCCCTCTTTTTAATTTGGAGGAGAGGAAGGCACACCTGGTAATGCTCAGGGCTTACTCTTGACTCTACACTCAATAACCACTCCTAGTAGGTCTCCGGGCGCCATATGAGATGAATGGGATGGAATACCTGTGAGGGCAAAACTAATGCCATGACAAGTTGAAGCTAACATTAAGTCTCGACTAGGCCTCAGTTTCTGTTTCCCTGGAGCAGGACTTGGAGTTTCTGGTAAACTCCCTGTTGAGTAATTTGCCAAGATGAGGAATTGGGCAGTTGGGTCTGGCTGGTCATGAAGGGTCACTGCACCCTCCTTAGAAACTGTTGCTAACTATTGCTTAATTGCTGATCACCATTATAATAGGGCTAATGCTAAAAATAGACCAGTATATAAGTTGCTTCTTAACTCTGAACCCTATACAAACTGCTAGTGATTTGGAGTCAGGGTCCTTGTCAAGACTCCACAGTGTTGGATGAGACTTGGACCCTAACTCGGGCTCGGGCTAGTGAAAAAAGTTCCTCTGCTTTTGCATTATCTTGTGTGGACTTGGTCTCTCCACAATTGGGGATCTGAAACTTGAGCACAACACACCAAGGGCTGTGTTCAGGTCAAGTGCCTTACCCACTATTCTCTCTGGCTGGGTGCAACATTTTAGGGCACATTTCTAACTTTTGTTCCCTTCCCTTGATACAGAAGTTGATAATTGGCTATCTGCCATTAGTGACGTTTACTGAATCTGAATCTGTTGAATTAGGTAGTCTACATTCAACAATAACAACTAAAACGTATGAAATAGCTTTTAATCCGTTCTTTTGCAGTAGACTCCTAGTGTTGTATTGCATCTCTGCTGTGGCAGAACCAAGGACCATTTTTCCGGGATTCCATATGACCATATAACCATATACCCTGAGCACCACCAGAAATAATTCCTGAGTGCAGAACCAGGAGTAACCCCTGAGCATCGCCAGGTGTGACCCAAAAAAGAAATATAATATATATAGAGAGATTTATGTGTATATCTGTTTAAATAATATGTATATATGTTTAGACAGAGGCTAAAGCATACTTTTTTATTTTATAAATTTATTTATTGAATCACTGTGAGAGCAGTTACAAAGTTTCCAGGTTTAAGTCTCGGTCATACAATGATGATACACCTGTCCCTTCACCAGTGCACATTTTCCACCACCAAAACCCCTATTATACCCCCCATCCCACACCCTCCCCCTACCTGTATGACAGATAATTTCCACATTACTCTCTCTCTACTTTGATTATATTCAATATTTTGACACCAGATCCACCATTATTATTTGGGATTTTACCCCAACACTCAAATCTGCCAAAAAGGCAACATTAGACAATTTGTTTTCTATTACTGATTATTAATAGCATATGATGGCCATGCAATTTTGGAGTTCTGAAATTTTAATAATTAAAGCTGGCGGAATTTCTGCCAGAAGCCACTAAGTTCCGAGATTTGTTTCTGAGCCTCTGGGATCATGGTAAAGCATACTTTTTTAACATTGAAAAAGAATACATCAGCAAGTCTTTATAAATAAGTTCTCAGGAAATAAAAACATTTTCACCTGGAAAACTGTACCCTATTATCTTGTACTTGTTTAGAAGACAAAGCAGGCCGCCCTAAGCTGCAGGAAAGGCGCTGGTTTGGGTATACCATACCGAGGTCTGAATTCCGTTACTCACCATGCAGGTGCCTTGAGCACTTGTACATATGTTGACTCTCTCATTTTGACTCTAAGTCCTCTTGTTGCAGTAATTAGGAAAAGAAAATAAAGCCAAGGGCAATACCAAAGTACACTTTGCATTCTCGGAAAAAAAATAAAGATGAGGACAAGTGAAGTTGCCCTTGGATCGCACACTTGTATCTTAGTACGGAGGGTTCTTCTTTCTGTCACTTGTCTTGAAGGCAGATGAAGAGTGTTCTGTACAAAGTTTCTATGGCCAAAGATAAGGCCACACAACCTGGCAATGTGAAGGTATGTTGATGAATTCTTAGCTCTGCAGAACAATGCAAATAAAAGTGTCCCCAAAACAGCTCAACCATTCAGGTGACTCTTGGGACTGAAAA